TGCCAACAGGCAGAAACTGAAGAGGTGGCTATTTTATAATCATCATAATTATACAGTGGCCATAGGCATAAACCATCCCCCTAAACATAGAAACCCAACAAAACCCAGCTTGGGCTGTGCTAAGTTAGTGCCTGTGCTCTTCAGCTGGAGCAGCAGCTCTCACCCAGGGACAGCAGCACCCAGCCCCACAGGGCATCCCTCCTTGGCAGCAGCAGGGACTTGTTCACTCCTCTGCAAAGCACCCGGCTCCTCACACAGCCCTCAGGACTACACAACCCAGCCCCTCATGTTATTAACCCTTCATGCTACCAGCCTCCTGCCGGCAGCAGGCTGGCAGAGAAAAACAACCCAGGATGCAGAAAGGTGCTGGAGCACAGAGCCCCTGCACTGCTTGCAGCCCTTCCTACAGCTGGAGGCTTGCTGGGCAGCTGCCTCTGCTTGCAAGCACCTGCCTTGCTTTGAGAGCTGTGAGAAAACAGGGCAGGGCTCAGCTCGAACCTCACAGCACATCCCCCAGGGAAACGGCATCTGACTCACATTTATCACTAGGATTTTAGTCCCCACCACTTTTTTTACCCTCCTCCCTCAGAGCAATTATTCTGAGGTCATCTTCTGCAAAGTCTCAAGATTCAGCTGGAGAACAAAAATATAGTGGAGATGGACAGGCAGCTCCTAAAAAAGGTTTTGCAAACAGTTCACACGCTTTTCTTCTGAGGGCTGGAGAGGGTGAAGTCTAGTCCTGACTGGGAGAGCCTGTCAAAATAAACTGAAGCTTTTCTGTCTACTGGAGCAGTGCCTTTAGGAGCATTTTGAGACATCTGCAGGTAACTACACCCTCCCTTTTGCAAATGCATCCCTTCTACATCCTTTACAAGTGAGCCTATTAATTGCTGAAATGTAGTCAGAGTGTGGTATGATGGATTTAATTTTTTAAACTGAGAGGATGGGATTTATTCCCCACTCAGAGGGGCTAGGTAGGCTCACACCTTTCTTCCCAGCATTGCCAGCTTCTCCCTACATCCCACACTGTTCCTACATTTCATGGCTCTGGTATAATCTTCTTCCTTGTACTCCTAGTGCTGGAGGGCTAGGATTCCTGTAAACTGGCAGCATACTGTACTACAGACAACTTTCCCAGCCCCACTGAAAGTGAGGAAGCTATTTTCCACCAGTAAACCTTGTCCCTGCCAGCCTGCCTTAGTGCACTTTCTTCCAGCACTGCTGATCATGCAGCTGGCTCTGTTCCTGAGGCTGGCTAGCTCCAGCTTTCTAAAATACACCTAAAAAAAAAAAATCTTTATTTGGCACAATGACCTCATAGATCACCAAATCAAGCCTTCCTCAGGACTTTACAGTAAAATCCCTGCCCCCTGGTCAAACACTTTTATTAAACCCACAACAGCAGACATGCTGTTTTCTGGGGCAAATTCCCATGTTCCACATGCTCTTGTTTTTCCCTACTGTCCTTGGCTTGGTTACAACATATAAATAGCCATATCCTTCAGCAGATTGCCTTTATCTTCTCTCCTTTTCCTCACAGCAGCAGACAAGGGCCACAGCTGACAGCAGCCTCAGAGCAATACAGTGCAGAACCCACCAGTATCACCCCACCTACATAAGCCAAAACCCAGCAACCACCTGTGCTCTGCCACACTTTTCATCAGCTTCTACAATTTTTGCCTAACTTTAACAGCATTACAGGCAGTGTTCTCTGTTTGTGCCTAACATAGAACTTACTCCCATTAGTTATCCCTCCTCCTATTCCAAACCAAGCAAGTATCTAGACCAGGACTGCTCTGATCCCACAGCTCTTGGCTAACCACAAGCCATTTCCATAGATGTACAATATATAACATCACATTTGGCAACAAAACGTAGCTACATTAAAGCAAATTTAGAGCAAAGGGTCAGCAGCACCTGTGTTTAATGAAGAAATCTGCTTGTGTTTGGAAATAAAGCTGCTTAAGCCCTTTTCTGCTGTCCTTTCTCACATTCCAAGCAGGCTTTAAGGTCTTAACATTGTCATTACTGATGGGAAAGTTAGGATGGTATAGGAAAGTAGTATTTTACTTTTGCATCTTTTCCTTCATACTGTTCCTCCCAATATGGACATGACATCCCACCTGTGGGATAATTTTTTCCCAAGCATCAGCTCCTGCTCCTCTGCTGGCCCATCAAACCAGGACAGACCTCATCCCAACAGGGATCCTTGCTGTGTCCTGACTCCCTTTGCTCTGCTTCCCCTCACAGGCATTACACCATTAGTCACTTCTGCCCCATGGAAAAAAAAAACCTCTGCCATTGTCCTAAACACAGGATTTTTCCTTCAGTATTGCAATCCCCTCATGCCTGCTTCTCAGAAAAAAATCTGTGCTTCTTTGGTACACCAGAACCTCTACGCATTGCTCCACAAGTCACATTCTGCTCCAGCTTCAAGACAATCCTGACATAACTTGAAGATTGTGACTCACTCCCTGCTTGGACAGTCACTGCTACAAACAGACTTTTGGGGCCATCATTGCTTAGAACCAAATTCTTCAGGAAATTTGGTCACACCTGCTAATACTACAGTATTACTACTCTCATCACAGAACTCATCAATACTCATTACTGGTAAGTATTCATTTGAGGCTAGCTTGCAGATCTTAAAATGACTGCAACCAGGTTTTACATCTGTAGTTCATATTCTTGCTAAAATGAAATATTGAAGTAATAAACAGTAGCTCTTTCTTCTCTGATAAAAGATGACTTACCCACCTGTTGATTACTCAGAAAATTTACACACATAGGCTGCTAAAAATAAAAAAAGGGCCAAAAATTGGGCTGTAGGACTTCAAAAAAGTCCAGGAAGCCCCCATCCAGCTAAAATGAAATATTGAAGTAATAAACAGTAGCTCTTTCTTCTCTGATAAAAGATGACTTACCCAACTGTTGATTACTCAGAAAATTTATACACATTGACTGTTAAAAAAAAGGCCCAAAGATGAGCTGTAGGACTTCAAAAAAAGTCCAGGAAGTCCCCATCCAGCTTCTGTAGAAGGCATCAATAGTGGAATGTATAAACTTCAGTCTTCTGGATATTCAGTTGACCTGGATGCCAGTTTGAGGGCTTCCTCTGGTCATCACCCAAACCCACCTCATCCGCTAAGATACCGAGTTTACAGCTTAGTTCTCACCACCCTAGTTACAACTCATTGCATTTTCTTGGATGTTGACAAACACTGGTAGTGTTGGACTACAGCTATGTCAGATTTTGGGAACCTGAACACACACAAACAGAGCAATAAAACCAGGGGCAGCTGAAGTCAGCAGTAAGCTTTCATTATGGTTGACAGCAATTTACCCCAGCTCTTTCAGGTGTAGGTTCAATCTCATGCCCTGAATTCCACACCTGACAAAAAGGCTACTTCTCAGTTCTGCAAGAGCTCATGGACATGGTAGGTCTCAAATTCCCCTATGAGATTAAATTTTTCCCTGCAGGCTCTCGCATGTATCCAAGGAGGAAAATCAGATCAACTCCTTTCTGGAGTCATTCCAGTCTGCAAGACACAAAACCATGATTAACATTTCTTTGAAATGCAGCCTCTTTTTTTAAGGCCCTAGTAGCAGAGAACAGAGGAGAGGTCTGTCAGTTATCTAAGGGGTTATTCAAACCCATGTGGAACACAAAGGTGGGCAATATATTCATGTGTTAGTCCAGAGCTACAGCCAAAGCCTAACCCAACAGTTCTGATATTCCTCATAAATACCAACCTCCTTTTACAAGGAAGGTAGGAACAAGCAGACTACTAAAAAGGCATTTGTAATACCCAGAGGACAAGGACCAGAAGCTCCTAGGAGCACAGCTGAGATCCTGGTGTTCCCCTGCTGTAGTCAGGGGTATAGCACTTCAACTTGCTGGTAAGGATCCAAGTCCATAGGTAGCCCCCACCAATAGATATTTTAGAGAAAAACACACTTAAAAACCATCTAGGGTAAAAGTATAGGACAAATTAATAATTCTTTAAGCTAAGAGTTCCCTACCAATATGCCTGCTCCCTCCCATGCCCATTTTTGAACCGAAACAGGACAGCCACAGTTCCTGCTGCTGCAAGCAGCAACTGCAAAGCTGTACAGTAATTTCTCATGAAACTTTTTTTTCCTCCACTTGGAAAGCTAAGATTTGGCACACAAGCTGTAAAAGCCCTTGAGATTGTACTTCACTGGCTTTGGAGAAACAAAGCACAAAGCCAGCCACTGAGAAAAGTCCTGAGCAGAATGGGAATCTGCCTTGTCAAGGGACCAAGGCCATGCCAGATACTAGGGGACAAAGTTATGTCAGCAGACAGCCCAGCTGGCTCCAGGGTACAGCCCAGACTGTTTGCATCAAAATAGCACTGCCTGAATAATCACCAGCATGGCAGTCATCCTCTGCCACCCTGTATGAAGATGGCAGTAGAAGTGCTACAGCAGTAACATTTTAGGAATATAATTAAGAACTGCTTTTGTTCACACACACCAAGGAAAGGAGGAATGGCAACACCTTCCCTAACATGCTCTGACAGGCATCTTTTCCACTCCTTGGGATTCCCTTCAAATACAGCATTAGCACAGGAGTTATTTCCTGCTTCATACCGAAGCCCTAATGATTTAACACCTAACATGTTACTCAAGTTCAACTCCATGGAGCTACACATCAAACAGTAAGATTAATAAACATAGTGAAAATCTTCTCCCCCACAGACATAGACCTTACTCTTTATTAAGTATCAAATTGTCTCCAACATAAATTACATCCAAATTACGTAAAGTTTCAAGAAAGTCAAATATTTTATGTACAGTATTTGTCTTGAGTCAGATATACCTTTATCATTTTAACCTATAACATGAAAAGCAAACCTACATCAGTACCAAATAAAGCATTAAAAAGGTAACAAATATATAGCTTTTTAGAAATGCTTCCAGAACACTAGAGTTAATGATAACAATCTTATAGTGCAGTAGTCTTGGGTTTTTAGCTCTTAGACCATTTCCCTGTTTTTGCGGATAGCACAGCAGAGAACCATACTGAATATCATGCCGAAAATCTGCAAAGGAAGCAAACACATTAGAAGTCAGGGGACCAAAGCACATTCTTCTATTAAAACAGGGACCAGCACAGCAGCTCTTCCTGGCCCAGAGGCCACATGAACAGTTTATTCTGCAGTTAACGTCCCTGCCCCTCCCTTCCCCTCCACACCCAGATTTCCGTCCGTTCTCATGGATCTCCTTCACCCTCAATGCTTCAAAACAGAGCAGCTATAAACCACTGCCACGTCTCCTAAACAAAATCATTGGTCAACTCAATGTATTTGCATCCATGGCATACTTCCCACCAGAGAAGGCAAACAAAAGGTGCAAATTTTCTTACTAGCACTGTCATTTCAGGTCTCCAGCAGTGTCTTTGAGAGGAAGGAAACAAAAGCAAGGATCCCCAAGACACTAGGAGTAAGAAGTGGGCTGGCAAAAGACCAGTATATCTCCTTTTACACACACATTACTGTCACAACTTCATCACTGCTGAAACTACCAGTAGGTGGATCCTAATCCCAAGCAGAAGTAGGGAGGTCCAAGATACTCCACCCTCTGTGCTGCCTCAGGGCCCCACAGCACACACCCTGATCCTGCCAGTACCTGTCACAAGTAAAATGGGCTCAGACTGCCATGCCAGGCACCATTCCACAGACTTCCACTGTCAGTATCCTTTTGCCATACAGCTACCCTCTAAGGAATCTGGAAACTCACCATTATTACAGCAATGCCAAGGCCAACTGCTCCAATCACATTCAATTTTGAATTGAAGACACCATCAATGGCATCAGGACATGACTAAAAAAAAAACACAGACAGTTTAGTGTTTCACACAAAGGAAAGGTTTGTTTCTGCTTGCTTCTTTGAACCCAAGTCTGCTGATTGATGCTATACCTTTGATCAAAGTCTGCTTATGCTAAAGATGAAGACTCATCTGTTTTGAGAGCTGCTTTGAACTGGCCTTTATTTCCACATTTTTAAAGAGCACCAGGGATGTTCCAACACAGAAGCTGGTGGAGAAGTTTAAATGTACTCTTCAAATACCTAAGCTTCTCAACTCTGCCTTGGCTACAGAAAGATTCCTTTTGCAACACATGCAGCTGATCAGGTAGATGAGGACCAACAGCAGTTGTACCAGCCCTTCAAGATAAATTTGAAGCCACTCTTGATAATTCCAATTACTATTTTAAATTTGCAGACACCTTATGAACACATGGTACCATTCTGAAGCTCCCATGACAATGAATTACCATTGCAACTAGCAAAAAATTTTAAGTACAGACCTTCCCCCAAGGAAGACATGGTAGACAAGAAAAGGAACAAGCAATTTTTATAGAGGTATAAATTTTTAACAGCCTGGTAGCTAACATGGTAGACAAGAAAAGGAACAAGCATTTATAGATGTATAAATCTTTAACAGCCTGGTAGCTGGTCAAAGTCTCATCCCAAGTCCTGTCCTACTTATTCCAGCAGCAGACTATAGCAAGCTGCTGAAAGCTTTTTTCCTTTAGTTGTTCCTTATCCAGTCCAGAAGGAAAGACTAAATCAAGGATTAAAGGGATATACTGGCAAGAATTAATCATTAAAATCAGAATATCAATACAGCACTGCTCTTTAGAGGCACACAGATCAGCCACACCATTACACTCCTTTAATCTTGCAGTCTAGCTACTGTTTTTCTGCAGTTGGGACTAGACCATAAAAAGCATCACAAGATGAAGTCAGAGGAAGCTAAAACATAGAGTGAAAGCAAACAATAAAACCTGCATGCTGCCTCAGCTACTCCCATACAGTCTAACTCATAGCAGGTGGTATGGACAGGAATAAAGATAGAGTCTAAATACAGACTGAAGTGTCTCATGTGGTCAGATATTTGAAAGCACAAAATCTACAATAAGAGCACAAGCAATGTGGAAAAAAAAGTCAAATAATTCATTCAATTCCTGTATTGTAAAAAAAATTTTCAATGGGAAGGCTCATACAGGCTGTCTTGGAGCAGGAAGTAAGAGCACAAGACAGTTGTAAGAAAGAGGAAAAGGTGTAGTTAACTATTAAAATGCCTAAAATATTAACATGTGTATTTATGCCATACAGGCACCTCTGTAGCAACATGTCAACAGGGGAATTCCATTCAGAGAATTGGCTTCCCAGTGGCATACTCAACCTCAGCAGGCCACCAATGCATCCACCCCTCTCCTCTTCCTTGCCAAGACTTCAGACCTCCTCCCACCCAATGCTTTACTTCTCTCTGACCAAGGGGGGAAGCAGCAGCTCCTGTGCAGCACCAAGGTGGTGTTCTGGCAACAGAGCAGCCAGAAGAACAGAGCTCTCTAGCACTATTTTAGGTGCAATTTTGGTCTTCTGCTGTCCACCACGCCAGTGAGTCTAGTGACACAGACTGCACATTTCCTGTGGAAGTTGACATTTCCTGCTGGCCCTGCTTGTTCTTTCCACAGTAACAGTATGCTGATTTTCCACAACTAAACTGATTATAGAGATAGGTTGCTAAGTAAGTGTGACGTGGGAATTTCCTATGGACTAGACAGGTTTACTCAGAAATGCCTCTTTCTTCTCATTGGGCAGAGCTGTTGGTGAATTATCATGCTTTACCATTACACTAAGTGACTCCATCATGGTCTTCTTTGGACAGGTGTCCATGAACGCCTGCTCAATAGGTCCTCTAAGACCACAGCAGTCCAACTACAAGAGAAATCAGAAAAAGAAAGTCAAGTTAAATAATCCTTATTTTTGCTCTGTATTTGCTAGTAAAGGAGAAATCAATTACATGAGGTTATATTACAGACCTTATGCAAATTTGCTTAGAAGTCCTACCAACATGACTGCTATAAACCTAATCTAAAAAAAAATCTTTATTGCATTAAAGGACTAGATTCTGAAAGGAAGAGCTCAATCTCATTTAGTATAGAGGTGTCAGTTTTGGTGACAGCTTGCACTCCTTACAGATGCAAAGATTACCTCCTCATAGACATGCAGATATGCATACTGTGGTGCCTCTAGATCAATACCACACACTCAAGAGTTTGCCAGCTTGCTTCTGAGTTTTAGGAAAGTAAGAACTGGTTCTATGCATCACAGAAGTTCAGAGGGACAAAGAGGTGTCCTGAATTCACTGTTACTACACAAAAAGATCTTTTCTGCAATTTGTTATTAACACTTCTCTGGTTTCTTCCAGTTAGTAAGGTGCTAGACTTGTACAGGGAACTAGATGAGATGGAGAACAGTGTGAACAAGTTGCATTACTGTTTAGTTTAAGTATAATCATGTACTTACAGCTAACTGAAATGCTCTCAGGGTCTCTCTTGCACCTGCTTGAGATCTCTTGTCATAGGTTTCCTTGTAGAATTCCTTTAACTCCTCAATAACCTACAGAAGAGCAAAGAGTTGTAAGAGTAATACACCACCTTAATATTCAATATGGAAAACTTGTTTTGAGCCAGTCATTAAAAAAATCTGCAACCTACAATACACATCCTTTTCACATGTAGAAATAAGAGGGTCAAAACAGATGGTGGACAGCATTCTTCACCTGGAATAGGTAAGCCTAACTGGTATACTCACCTTAAGAGGCCACACCTAAACAGAGAAGATTCAGTTTTGCTTCAAAGCTTGAGCTATTAGGAGAAGTGAGAGAACCAAGTCTTTGCCTCCTGGTTACACAAAAATATTCCCTATTCATCTCTGTACCCCACAAGTTGCTGTATAACCAAGCAGGAAACCAAGCCTGATCACCAAGCAGCTTATTTTGAAACAAGACAATCTTGACTGCTTGTGAGGAGGCAGCCTAGATTAATCATGGTTTTAGATGTACAAACATTCAGCCCATAGCTGAGCCAGCTCATACCTAGAAGTGGTAGAGCTTCACCAGTGGCCCACTTCACAGCTCAGCCAGATAGTCTCTGGGATTCTGCCTTCCCTCCTACAGTCTCATTGTTAAAGTTTAATTTCTTGTATTGTTTTGCTAGAATTCATCTTCCCCCTCTCCTTCTCCCCCAAATTCCCCAGGCAACCTGGATTTGACTAGTACTGGTATAGATTTCAGTAGACTGCCAACTTTCTGTGGGCACAGTAATGGAATCACATAATAGTTTGGGTCAGAAGGGACCTTTAAAGATCATCTAGTCCAACCCCTTGCCATGAGCAGGGACATCTTTAACAAGATCAGGTTGCTCAAAGCCACATCTAATCTGATTTTAAACACTTCCAATGATGGGGCATCCACAACTTCTCTGGACAATCTGTTCCAGTATCCCACCACCCTGTCAATTTTTTTTTTTTTTTTTAAGGGCAACCTACCTTTTCTTTATTTGCAAATCCCCAGATTGCAGCAGCAATTTCAAGGGCAAAAATCACAAAAAGGAAGAGGAAGAACTAGAAAAGAAAGAACACATCATTAAGACCACAGCACCACAAAACAGCATCACCTACATACTGCAAGCTTGTGCAGTCCCCAGCCTTGTGGAAACTGTCACTCAACCAGATTTCAGCTGGAGGTCTGGAACACTGGTAAGACTGGGAAAGAGGAGACTGCCCTGGGTCAGCACTTCTTCCCAGAAGCGTTGGAAAGCTTGGCAGTGTTTTCCAAGCTGAAGTCTTCCTTTTTGATCAGTGTTAATTAAAATCAATCATATGTTAACTCCGACTTTGAAGTTGCCCAGGTCACTCAGGCACATCACAACAGCTGACACCAATTCTTTTCTCTGTTTTGTCACTCCTATTGCTTTAGGAGTCATTACTTAATACCTGCTTTGCCACCAACTCCCAAAGAGCTAATGGTCACTTCTGTTGTATAGCCCATAAAATAGAAATAGGAGTGTCATCTGTGTTTGACTAGCACATCCAAAATAGCACTACCACTGAAAGGCACTTTAAACAGAGATGTTCTAAATCATAATAAAGGGCTATATGCATCATTTTGGAAGTAATAAGCAAAATTAGTTTCTTTCAAGAGACAGAAGGGAAATTGTTCTTTCATAGTAGCAGTCTTTTATTAACTAAGTCTTCTGGTTATTTGGATGAGTAGTTCCACAAGCATACAGATGCACACGAACCCAGTAAGCCTTACTGGCCCCTCCACTCTGAAAACAATGAGGTTGCTCTCCAATAATTGGCTTGCAGAGCAGTTGTCAACTAGAAGAGCTCATCCTGTGATTATGAACAGTAGAGGCTTGTTGTTTCAAGGATCAAATACCACAGTTCTGTTTCAAAGATTAAAGATCACACAGCCTTCAGAGTTCAGAACAAACTGCTTAATAAACAGCATTACTCTTATCGACGTTTTACTTCTGTGTTCACACATACTATCAGTCTTTATACCTGACTATCTGATATCTCAGTAACTCCTGAAGTCATCCTGTATTCAAATAAAACATGGTCTTTTGGATTCAGAGCCAGAAATAGAAACTATATTTAACATTTTTAGCATTATGTAGGTGACCAGGAGCTTAAACATTATGGAGCCAGAACAACCAACATCTGCTGCCTTATACCAGCACAGTATTATTTCCTTTCCTTTCTCATCATGATGCTGACAATGTAAACACTACTCTGAACACTTACCAAGCCAAGCATACATTGAGATTCCTGCAGTGCACCACAGCATCCCAAGAAACCAACCAGCATCATAAGGGCACCAGCTCCAATAAGGATGTAAACTCCTAGGAAAGATTAAAACAGAAACATGTATGCTGCTGAGATCTCAGCTGGCCTGCAAGGTAAAAAATTAATTGCTTCAGAAACAGCATTTGTAGCTTTTGCCAAGATTAGCTGCTTTACTGAGGTGTTCCAAGCAAAAGAAGGGCTGTGGTTAATTCTCAAAGCAAACATCACATTTTAGAAAATGGGCAAGAAAGCCACCTAAGACAAACTGTAAGACATGTTAAACCTGGCTCAGAGCCAGAGTTATCAACTTATCTTCAGATGAAGAGTGTCTTACAGTCAGAGACAGTTGGAACTAGTGATTTATCAACACCTGAGATTTTTTGAAGCATTCTACCTCTAGGAAAATGGGTATTAAAAGGCATCATTATCCTCTGTCATAATGTTTTAAATGCTTTCTTACCCTGCTTTTCCATCAGGAAACAAAGAATTATTCCACCAGTCACAGCAATACAAGTCTAAGCATCAGCTGCCTCATTTGACAGCCTAACTACAAGAAACTCAGCATTTTCTGCTTTTTCAAAAAAGAGACACTTCAAACCATATCAAGATGCAGAGCCTGTAGACCATGCTGTCCACAATTTAGGTAGCAAGCACGTTGGAGCATAGAGGGCAAGCATTTCTGGGAAAAGAGACTCCATTTATGACCAGTCCTCTACTCCTATAAACTTGGGAACTACCAGCTTAAGCATTATACAGCTGCTAGCTAGTGAGAGCAGAAGGTATGGCAAGCAAAACAATTCCCCATGGATGCCAAGAAAGCATCAAGATGGTGAAACATGACACAGAATCAGCACAAAGTACATAGAATTAGTATGACATTTCTGTCAATATAGATAAAAATATATTTCTGACCTTCTGAGACCAAATCAATACTATGTAAAGAAAGCCATGTGTAAGAATTTGCAAATGATATTTTCTAGATGCAAACCAATAATATTAAATGCCAAAAATAAACATCTACTTGCTCATATGTACGTAAATGATTAAGTCTGACATTTCTTATCAACAGGAAATTCCAGCACTAAGGGTTTTTTATACCTCAGTTTAAGCTTTTTAAATTTTGGAAAAAAAAGAAGAGTGCACCAGAACATCTTATTTTATCTTCAGTAGAAAGCTTTTGAGGTGACAGTTTTTCAATCTGCTGTTGGAAACTATAGTCACTAACTACTCCCAGAAAAATGTTAAACCAGTAATTCCTATTAAACTTGGTCTTAGAACTCAGTTTAACCTATAGAGGTTTTCAAGTAGGTTTTACTGGCTGCACTCAGCCAGTAGCTTAAGTCTCACATCATAAAACTTTCATGTTTTAGGAGGTGAAACAGCTGTTTTAGACTACCCAAAATAAGTTTTTTTTTAAACCTACAGCTCAATGGCTAAGTTTAGGTTTCTGTTCCCTTTCCAAGGGTCAGTTAAAAACATCTGAAAACCTTCCTGGCAGCTGCAAGAAGAACCCAGTTTGCTACCACACTAGCATACCAAGGGTGAAACAGAAGCTTTCTTGCAGGTAAGATGTCTGCACGCCTGTGGCCTCTTCATGAGGTCACACAAGCATTTCAGTATTCCCAATTATGGTCTTTTAGAAGTCTAACTCCTCATTCCCAGCAGTACTCCCTGTAGGCACAGGATAAAAACAGCTACTTGGCTTCAAAAAAGGGTTTGAGCACCTACAGGTGACAACAACCCAGGAAGGATGTATCCCTCTGCCCAAGCCTGCAAGTCACTGGAGAGATCAAAAATCTTACAGGCAGGACAAAATCAGATTGAGTTAGGAACCCCTACAACATTATAATAAAGTGAAATAGTGTGTCCACAAATTGGTAATCTCACAAAACTAGCTGAAGGAATAGCTTCCACCTGGCCTAGTAAAGCTACATTGATCTAGGCTGCCTGTAGAAGTTGCTCATGCAGACCAAGATTTGTGCACCCATTCCATGACGTTCAGAATAAATTAGCACACATAGGCTGTAAGAGTTAGGCAGTAGCACACATGCTCCTTCTGAGTGATGAGGCACCAGTTGTGGTTTTGGGTAGCTTAGGTGGGTCACTGTGGAGAAAAAAAAATAGTTCTTGATGTCACCTATGACTACTCATTTGAGGGGAACTTTGCTGACTCAGTGGCAGAAGCATTAAGAGATGTCTCCCTTGTCTACCAACAGGAGTCCCTGGGATGACAAAATGCCTAACTGCAGGGTTTAATCTGAGGAAAAGATGAGGTGATATGATGTATGAAAAGCCAAGAAACCACTGTTGTGACACTGCTGCTGTCTGCACAAGAGCTCACAACAGAGGCTGGCGCTGTGCACTACCCTGGGGAAGATCCTCTCCACCTCACCAAGGTCTTTTAGTGCTGCTCTGACTTCTTTCCAGGAAGGCACAGGTTTCTAAGCAGTCTGGAAAGGAGGACACGAGTGTTCTCTATCAATCCATGTCCTAGCTTACCCGTGTAAAACGTCGTGTTGTTGGATTCCAGTTCAAAGATGCTTTTGGTCTGTGAATCAAACCGAAGCCATAGTCCAATTGCAAGAACTGCTGTCCCTGCAAGCTGCAAGAACAAGAAAACCTTGTTAAATAACAACAATTAATACATTCACCCTTGAATTAGTAACATCAGAAGTAAACACAGGATATCGTTCTGTTATTTAAAGAGGTGGTGACAGAGTACCAGCATAAAAGGACAGGGATACCAAAACAAGAACAAGCTTAGTTCCTAACATGAGGCATCTCGTTGACAGATGCATTTACACAAACTACAATGCCACACAAGAACAATGCTGTTCTTGTTCCTTACTGAAAATTTACCAAAGGGCCAAGTGTCAGTATTTCCATTGACCCCTCCACCCATTACTTTATTCTGGATGGCTGCAATGACATTGCACAGCTAAGCCATCTTAGGTCTTCCCCCTGAAGGACAAGACTATCACAAGGAAAAGCACCTTGTAAGGCCAGCTAAAAGTTTTAGCCTATTTAACAGGCTGGTAAGAGTTTAGTGTACCACAGTCTAGAGTTTTGAAAGAGTGCTCTTCCTTGAAAAACAGGACAAAACCAAGCCAAAACTAACATTTTTGCTCTGAATAGGCTAAATCCTCCCTGCTTTAAAAAAGAAAAAACAACTGAGGTCATCTTGCATGCAAAAAAAAAAGAAACCAGGTCAGATTAGAAATCTGGAAAGTGTATTTCTCAGTTCTTCTTTCCCTCCTTTGAAGACCATTTAACTATCAAAAAAGCTCTACAAAAGTGAAATGAGGATAGAAGTCTAATATATTGCAGCCAACATAAAAAAAACTACTTGTGTGAGCAATAAGCTTAGAAATTCTGGAGCTTGGGTTAGGTGAAGCATGCATGGAAAGAAGAAAAAAGCTTTATCTCTGATAAGAAGTTCCTTCTAGAAGGGAACAACATTCTTGATTTGCCTCCAAGAAACTGGGAAGTGTTTCTAATGTCAATTTTCAGTGAGATAATGGAAGGCCTTCCCACAGAAAGCACCCATGGATATACTCCTTCCACACCAAGCACAACTTGCCCAGCCCCACACTCTCCCTGTGGGGACCCTGAGAGCCCTTTCTCCCTTCTGTGGGAGTTTTCACACTCAAAGGCAGGCACAGCTTTGCTGCCCATGGCTGTCTTCTCCAGCCTCCTAGGCTTGCTCTTCCAAAAAAAATAAGTAGGGAGAGCTTTGAAGATTCACACAGGACAAAGGACGGAGCTAAGGAAAGGTTTAGGGGAAGGTATATCCTTTGTGGCTTCTCAGCAGAGAGCACCCCAGCTGAAATGCTGAAGGGCTCAGGTATCAGCAAAGAAAGGGGAGAGGCCAACCATGCCAGAAAAACCAGCATTTCTTGTGTGGCAGGCTCCTGACTCCCAAAGCCTGCCTCAAAGAGAAGCTGTAGGATTTTAGCAGGGGAAAAGATGCAGTGATACACAATACAGAAAGAGCCAAACCCAAACAGAGGTTTCTAGAGCTATGCAAAAGGCATTTTGTTGATGTCAGGGGTGTGTAGGCACAGGCTTACTCACCAAGCACACCACAAGAACAAAGCCTGCACATACCTGCTGCTTTCCTTGTTAGGGCTACGCTGACAAAATTTTAAGTTATGCCACAGAACTCTGGTATACACAGTATTTCACAAGTGTTATTTCAATTTATTGTGGCACAGCAGTACCCCAGGGTAAGGGAGAGGTGCAAGAGGGGGACTGGCAGAGAGAATCTGTGGCTCTACCTGTCCTCATTGCTACAGCATCCCTTGAAAAAAGGCTTTGCAATCTCCTATCACTTCAGTTCAGAAGCCAGGAGGACTTAGTGATGGAAAAACCTCACGCACTGCTTCTAGCCTACAATGAAGTCACCCAGCATTTAATATTCTGAGATGCACTTTCCTGGGTCAAACAGTCTTCAGCTTTTATAGGCATCTCCATTTGCAGCACTACAAGAAACCTACAGCTTCTACTTGTTTTGCCAGGAACAGGTTCACACAATTGATGATAAGTGCAAAGCCACGAGGCTGAGCACACCCAGCTGGCTGCACCTACCTATGTTTGTGGTTTGGCAAGACTGAGCAGAGAGCTCAGGGGCAGCACAGGAAAGGACTGTAAAACTACAACCCAGAGCTGATCCTCTAACAGACCTCCAAGGCCAGGCTATTCAAACTGTAAAGAAACTAAGCCATCCTTCAAGCACGTAGATAATATTACAAGTCCAAGCAGAGCAGAAGGTTCAGTTAATTAACCTCTTCAGAAACAAACTGGTTGGTTAACATTGTGGAGAGTTGACATATCTAATACAGCTCCTTACAAAAACAAACTTAACTTCAGGTGGTGGTGGGGGAAGGGTTAACTGCCATGTTTTTTTTTTTCCTTTGGAAAACAAGTCATCCCTTGAAAAAGTTCAGATGATCACAAGGAGGCAAGAGACTTACTATGGTATCACAGAACAGTGATAAAGCCAGTGCACTGCTCCATGCTACTAACAGTAGGATTAAATAATGTGATAATTCTCTCCGTGGTGGATTAGAAAAAAAAAAATTGCAGCTCCTTCTTACAAGAAAAATTGACTATTTGTCTCAGCTTAAGGAAAGCAGACTTGTGTTCTCAGTTTGTGCTCTTCCTGCCCACAATGCCCACTGAACTAAAAAAAGGCAGCTTTAAAGCAGAAGGCAAAAAAAAAAAGTAACTTGAAGCTTCGAGTTTCCATCAAAATAACAAGAGACAAGGGCACCAACATCAGCCTCAAAGGAAGAGGCAAGCACAGCCCCATGGGCACCCACTGCCCTTGGCAGCATCTCAGACCAATCTGGCACACCAGAGGCTGTTACGTGGCCACCTCTTTGCTCACCAATGCTATGCCAGTAAGTTTTGGCAGCTATGTTGGGGTGGTTTCAGTAGTTGTGTTTTTCCTCCCTGGGCTGCATGGAAGCAGATCCCCTCAAGAGCTGGCTGTTGGGTTTTTAATCCAAGTGTTTTCCCAATCTAACAGACCTACAGACCTGTTCTGTCACAGGAGTTGAGCAATACAGGATATTTAAGTAGATCTATCCTGTGCTGAAAAAGAAAATTAAAAAGATAAAACCCCAAAATCTCTGCTTCCCTGAAGCTTCCACTGTGTGCAAAAGCCTCCAAAACTAAGGAAAAAGAGGCAGGTTTGTATGCTTGTGAAACATTAAGTAGTATGTTTCTCTAGTAACAAGTATGGGAAAGGGAAATCTGAAGACAGTATTTTTTTTTTACCAGTCTGACCAAAATGAAGTTACAGTGGTTCTAGTCAGTCACTGTAGTCAAAGTTTCTGCCTGTCATTCCCCAGTAACAGCACGTCCTGGCACAAGTATGCTGCTGATGTCCTTGCTCAAGCTAACAAGGCTTCCTTCTGTTTCCCCTAACCACTACTAAGCATCTTTCAAGCACAAGTGATCTGGGAGCTGTCTCATCCTTATTCTACAGCTGCAATGGACATATGCTAAACAAGGATAAAAATACCTGGTCGTTCTTCCTCTAGTCCTATTTTGATGCTTTTCAGTTTTATTTTTTCCATCATGTGCAAACATATCCCCATTACCTTCAAGCCTCTACTCCTGCATATATCTTTCTGCAGCAAAAAGTTTTGGATTTTTGTTAGTCTTACCTCCTTACAAAGCCTTGAACCTTTTCTAGTGAGCCTCCAGTGCAGGGCTTCCCTCCTCCCAGCCATCCAACCACTCTGACAAGTGCCTTCTCCAAACTCAGCCCCTTTTCAGTGCCCTGGTGTCCCACTTGCAAACAACATGGTTTTGCCTCTGAGCATATCTAAGCACATGTCCCAGTACTTACCCTCACCCCCCTGCTTTCTTTTAGACTTCAGTGTGACAAGAGATAACTGGCAAAGGATCTGTGGCACTGCAGAGGACAGTCACAATATACCTGAGATGAAAACCAACCCATTTCCCCTGGAAGGGGAGCCTACATAACACTGCTGTCCTTTCCTCACCAGACCTAGCATAGCTCAGCACTGAATGCTCCAAGTTCATGCTGAAGTCAGCCATCAAGTAGTTTCCACTGCATTATTTGTCCTTTAAGACCCAAGTTTTCACAGATGTGGTCTGCTAGCAGAACACTGCATTATTTGTCCTTTACACCAGTATCATCAAATCTGATTCCCTGTGCAAGCCTTCTGCTAGGAGACCACATCTGTGGAAACTTGGGTGTTAAACACACATTAAAAGCTTGAGCTTTTCAAACTGGAAATTCCAATTTTTATTAACGTATCCTATGGTACAGCAATCCATGACACTACTTTGGGAAGATGGAAAATTGACTGTAGCTTTAAACAGCATCTTACTTTTATGGTCAAAAATCACCTCTTAAGGGGCTCAAGGTCCTAGTAGGCATCTTAGTAGGTTACTACCAGCCCTTCCTCCACTTCCATAGCATGGAGGCAGGGACAGGGAAGAAATGACACTGCAGGAGCTCCTGATACATGGATTAAAGCTTGTGGAAAAAAGCCTTTGTACAGGAAGTTATGGGTTCTGCTACTTTCACACATTCAGGCCGAGCTTATATGCAACTCCTATCAAGATTGTGGCATTACTTCTAGCAGAAGGTAAGTCAATATATGGAAACAGCAGTCAGTTAAAAATACTACTTTCAGTGTTGTTAGCTGCAATGCTGATCTGACATTACTTACTTCAAGAAAAAAATATGTTCTGCTCCATATTACTGTTCCTTACACAGATTTTACTCCTCATGTGCCAAAAGTACACTGAGAAAGCCACTATCTCCCCTTCAGCTCAAACAGGTAAAAACTTCTAGCTGAAAATCTGACTCAGATATTCAACTACATAAGACAGAAAGCTAACTTGTTCCTCACTGTGCAAAAGTGTATTAATGAAGCCAGAACCAGACATATAACATTGCAAAGCACACAGGCAAAGAAATTGAGATTATGACTGGTAATAAACTGTTTCTGTCCTGTTACTTGCTGGTACTCTATAAATAAAAACCCATAAACAGCAAGTACAGATGAGGCTCAACATCACTCTAAACCCTTAATTACAGGATTAGCATTATCCACAACA